AAGGTTTTACACACAATGTTTTTGCACCAAATGAGCCTAGATGCGGATAAGGAGTTTTCACCAAAAATAGGTCAAGGTTGTGTGTGTACATGAGATTGGATCTGGCAAAAAAGTGGCGGGGCTTAACTTTTCCCACATGCACTTTATGCATTAGTGGCGGTATTTATCTGGAAAAGATCCGAAAAAGATAGAACAATCATCAGAGATAACGCTGCAGTTCAATACTCACGAGTCGCAGCACCTCCTGACACGGTCATGTTGGAGAGACCATTTTCCAACCCTGTCTATGGTATTGCGAAGACGACTTCGAAGCAACCTTCTGTGGCGTCGAATTCGAACAAAGCAAAGTCCCATCGGCATGCTAGTAATGAGGCGAATGACATTTTGTGCGATTGCATCCCCATAAAAAGCACAAGTCTTCAATGAGCAATCGACGTGAGCGCAAGGAATGCCAATGCCGGACGCGATAAGCTAGCCAAAGACGAGGCATAACTCGGGGGCCATGAAGCGGACGGAGCCAGCCAGAAACCCGCTTTAACGCAGTACTTGCCACAAATGACAAACAGGTCGATGCTCGTCGCAAGTATCAGAGCAAACATAAGCACAATTCGATTGCAGCTAGATAAGACTTCTGTTATTACGATTCTTTTCCAGCGTATCTGGAGGAAGATCGGAGCACTAAAATTGAGACCAACAATGAACACCTCCAGAAATGCCTCAGGAGGTAAGTTTCAATTGCTTGGTGAATTTGATCGGGATATGGGGATAGCGGAAATCCCAGGCGACCATCGGTTTCCTTCCAGAAGAGGAACCTAGTCTTCTTACAACCAAGTGCGGCGTCCAATGTGGCAAGAAACTTTTGAAGGGTGCTTAAACGACAACAAGTTTCCTGACGCCAGTGTCAAGTAAGATGACAAAGCAGACAGCGTTTTCCAGTCGCTGGAAACACAGTAACAATGATAGTATCAATAATAATCCGAACAAACACACTCATTTCTAGTTCAGTTTGATATTTCATGGGAGAGTCAACTGAATCTCTCGTTTATGGTACTCTTCCACTGAACGTTTCCAGTAGCCTTATGAGTGGTATCCTTTACGAAAATGTACCGCGATAACTGGAATATCTCACCAACTGAAAAACGGACGGCAATGTGCAGCACATTCAGTTGGAGGAAATCATAAACGAGAGATTCAACTGAACCTGCCAACTGTATCTGCCCAAATCAGCCTAATTTGAGTAAAACTAGAACAACTGGTACACAAATACCTGAGTCTTCAAATTCAGCGAGCTAATGCTGATCAGGCCGAGATAGTCAGTCTTGGTCATCCGAAGAAATTAGCAAAGTTGGCTAAGGCAAAGCACTGGTATTTCCGTGGTGCTCTAAAATGACGGACAGGCCTGTCTGTAACCAGGCATGTGTCCGAAAAATCCACCGCTTCATATGGCCATGATTGCAAACGAGAGAGCGGCTCCTTCTAGTTACCCACTTGAGCAGTGAAATCCGCTGTAGCCCAAATCTCTTCAGGCCTTTACAAACGACAGTTTTCCCGGTCGATCTCTCAAGTGTCAAGTTTTCTAAAAGTCTGAAACGACTATTACACTTACCTTGGCATAGTAGACTAGTTATAGGTTTTCTGAAAACTTCGCAGTAGTGTACCACATAGTATGTGAAAAGGATATACTCCAACCGGTTGAATATCGTTCCAACTGGAACATGAAGCGAGGTTTGTGCAGCAAGTTCAGTTAAAGGATAGCATGAACGAAAGATTAAATTGAATCATCCCTTAATACCACTGTAGCTTATGAGTGTACTTCATCAAAAGTCACAGTTTTCGGACTCATATAAAAGACATCACAGTGCCGGCCGGACTTGGGTTCGAGCGCGACTCTTCAATTGACTGTAGATTGATTGTTTCGCGATATGGTTATCAGCCAATCGGTTTGTGTGGCCTATTCAGCTGCTTGTCTGTCAGGGTGCATTCGATATGGCCTGCTGGAGAAGCTGTTATCGGGATTCGATCGAACCAAGGAATCCGAAGAATCTTGCACGGGTATTGTGAGTGAAGTCTTAAGCACTCCAGTGTATCATCAGTGCAACGTCCCACAATAACGCAACGCAACTTGGTGTCTGAGAACTTGTCTGAGAACGGATCATGACTACTTCAGACGTGCCCATGGGGGCCAATTCTGGTGCTCACCTCAGCGACTAGAGTAATGAAGACAGACGGAGGAGAGTACCTCCGAGATAGTGGGAAGTTCAAAGTACTGCTGCAACCAATAACTGGACGCAAGGTGTCATAATCGTGAAAATGGAACAGGTTGAAAAAAGATAAGTGGTTCGTAAGGATTCATTTTTAGACCAAAGCAGGGTGCCTTCAGAGTGGGTGCCGTAATGAGTTGTTGCAATTCAGTGCGAGTTAAGTAAAGGACGCTATAAGAACTTCGGCTCGTACGGCTTCATCTTGGCCGGGAAACGTTCCGAGGTGCGATGAAATTTCACATGACAGGGGATCAACACACCACAACTAGAATCCCGAGTCACTCTTCAAATAGCATTCGAATGAAAGTTGGATCAGTAAAGGTTTTAAAGCAACTCTGCTTAACGCCAAATCAAAGTGATGACTCAGAAGCCGCAGGTTCATACAAACGTAATCACTATGAGCACAAGAACTTTTGTCACTGAGGAGAATGTTTGTAGTTCAGGCAACGTAGTTAGCCGTTGGTTTGTTGGCTAAACTGCACAGTTCGATTACAATCAAATATAAGAACGACTTTTAACAGCACTAGTAACCGGTCGAACCGGCGCGGAAATATCGGATTAAAATTTTTTGATAGAATGATGCAGATATTTGGGATGGCTCTCTTATATGGACGAGCAGAAGAGGGAGAATACGAGAAACTAGTGTTTTATAAAGCTTCTTTCAGCTAGAAGCACCTTCATTCAAACGCCTTCCAAAACAGTATAACAAACCGGGTACTCCACAGCGAACGTATAAAACGATTTCTTCCGTGGAGCCCTTTTCTACACTGAGTCCGACAATTCGAAGCAGTTCTTCCATAATCAGACTCATATCGATTCGCGACTTAGTCTTCGAAATATATTCGCATAGCAACAACTGCCGCACATCTACTCCCCTTACAAGGATTCTCAACTACAGTCTCAGAGTGAGGACGTTAAATCGAATGGTCCAACCTAGAGCACCGATGGACTGTTCGCTTAGCTACATTAATGGATATTAGTTTGTCCTCCAAGCTTTGCAGCTGGGAAGACCTGCGGTTGGGTGACCCCAGTATCACTTGTTTCAGTTCAACAAGACAAATACATTAGTTGAATTTGGATAACATTCACGTACTTATCAAGGCAAAAGGACGCAGGAGTTTGTCAAGATATGTCACTCAACAAAAAAGGTCAACTACATCGTTACCGAACCAGTGTATCAGCCTCAACGAACAACAAATACCAGATGACTGGACTCTGAACAGCGTGGGAGACTGAATGACGAAGGACGTATCAAACATACAGCGAACAGATGTGCAAAACAAAGGTTGTCCAGTGTTGAATGAACACTACTTGTAAGGTTGCTGAAAAATTTTCGACAGCTTACGACCGGTTTTGCCCATTTTGGGGCTTACCAGGTAATCAGACTCCGAAGTTCCGCCAGCTTCATGTTTAATTCAACCCAGATTGTACAAGATCCACGAACTACACCCATTTGCGAACTAGCCTGGATGTTTAATCAAGCAAACTACTGGGAAAAAAGTCGTACAAGGAAACGGCCCAGTCGGAACAGAACAGCATTCAACAAACCACCCAATCGCTAGAAAATGAGAACATAATGCGATTTCGATTCCAAACCGATCCGTCAATGCACGTGGAAGCTACCCCTCAACTAACTGACCACGGTAGAGGCATCCTTTGGGAACTATATCAATGGAAACAGAAAAGGAAATACCCAATCAATTACGCGCCGACGATGTTTCCTTGATTGAAAACAAAGCGTCTGTAATCCAGTTTGCTGAGTTAGGTGAACAAACCAACAACCAGACAGCTCACCCGCATTGCCCATATTTAGCAACATTACCAGTTAGGCCGTGAGTTTTCTTGTGCTAGAGCCAACTGAGAAAATGAAGGCAACACATCACCGACTGACACCGAAGACATATTTCTTCCGTTATTCTGGACTGACCGAGCCACTATTTACAACAGTCCAATATGTTTGTGAGATTCTAAGGTTGAAGTCTGTTCTTCCTGATTTAATCGTGCATGCGCCTATGAAACGGACAGTCGAGGTATTAGAAGCTACTTGAAATTGCACATGATGAGTCACTGATAGGCGGCGTGTCATCAACATCATCATCACCGAAAGCAACACCCGATGAGAACACTGGTGCTTCACTGCCATACAAACGTCAATTTGTCTGAATAAAGCTTTATAATCGAAAAAAAGAAAGAAACGTAGGATAATGTGCGGATAGCCTACACTACCAACAACTAGTCAGACAATCCAGCGTATGATCGTACTCAAATCTAAATACTTCCGTGAGAACGGCTTGATATTTCTAAATGGTTCGTTATGTCTCAAGAAAGATGCCAGATACAGAACAACTAACACAGGGTCACCAAAGCGACAGGCTTCCCATTACTTCACCGTTTGCAATCAATCGGCCTCCGTCTTTCTATCCGTAAGGCTCACTTTCTAGTTCCAAATTATAAAAGAATTACGATTTCCGACAGGCTGTAAACAAATTATCTGGAAACTTAGTCAATGGGATTCATTACTTCGAAAAATAACAAGAAACAAGTGTCATTTGATTCCATCACAAACGTTTCCTCACTTGACTATATTTCTGTCGAACAACCTCAAAGGAGAATAATGTATGGCAAAGTTAACCCGGAAAGATGTTATTCAACATCAGTTTGCAAAAACTGGTGGCGCAGAATAGGTCAGAGTAATCGTCAATGCCCATAGTAGGAGGAAATGAAAAAACAAATTGGATGTGCAACAAACCTTAGTATTGTTTAGCTACAGCTGCCAGAAAAGTGATAACCATAAATCACAACACAAGAAAACGGTGTCTACAATACCTACCGCCATCGCTAACGCCACGACGGAGAAGGGAATAAATTGCACAGAGTCTCAAAAACAGTGCCCTACTTAGGTCTGCGGCGTAATCATGTGTTAGTTTGTAAATATAATTGGTCGCGCAAACACACGCCTTGTCTGCCTGTATCGAGTTGAAAACGAAGCGTTAGTAGGAAAATGCAAGAAAAACCCCAAACATAATAAGGAACCAGTTCGCTTATATAAAAGTTTAGGTTTGACTGAGAGTTTCCAGTGTGGTTGACAGAATGATTTTGCAATTCGGCAAACAGGTAGGTGTATGTAAACCGAAAAACGGAGAAAGAGAAAACTATCGTCTGCACCGAAAGACAAGAGAAGCGTCATCAATACTGGGTGGGACAGAGCATCACAGCGTGCAGTTCCCTCACTCTAGAGTCCCAGGGCGAGGAATATACTTGGAGTTATAAACAAAGAGCGAACTTGTTTCACATTCGTGCAGAGCACATGCTGCTGTTGTTACGTTGACTGCAGACCTCACGCATCAATGGACTGAGGCTGTCCAGACTGAGAAGTTTGGCGAACTCCGTCATTCGAATCTCCAAGGTCCGTAGGTCAATGAATGCAATAAGAAGACGTGCATAAAGCTCGGTTGCCGAGCGAAGGTGTTTGGGACCGGCGCGCCATCGTAAGTACGCCCAGAGGAATCGTAAATAAGCTTCCCGCGCCGCACTCACAGAAGCGCGCAAATCTTCAGATATGAAGGAATCATCCGTGAAAAGCTTGATGGCCAAAACGCAAACGCGAAGAATATCATCCGTTCCAATCAGCTGGTCGAGATGATCGAAAGCAGCCAAGGTATTTGCCTTGTACAGTTCGAATTCCTCGCGCAGCTCGGATGTGTGCTTTTGCTCCGGTGCACAAGGCGTGGATGGGTTGTGTAGCGGACTAAGTGGGTCAGCTTTAACTGCGCGGGTCTCAGAGAGATCTTCGCTTGCATCTGGCGCTACTACCTCGTCCAGCATCGAGACGGTAACAGTGGTCACTTGTCCGTTGCGTTGTAAAATAGGATAATTCAGCTTTCGGATACCACTCTCGAAGAAGAAGGACGAATACAACACGATGAGACCGTATATGTTGGCCTGAAACATAGCAAAAGTCGGGAAACATAATCAATCCTCAGTACAAAATGCTTCCGGACTGGATATAGTTAGATGTAATGGCCTCCAAACAACTGCGATGCAGGATAGTCTACTGAAGATCACAAACATCTCAAACAGGCTTCGCAGTCTGTCTAGCCCATACAGATCGCCTTTTTCACTGTTTATCATAGGTGACAATTTCAAGAAAACAGTAATGGATACTGATGCTTAACGGCCACAAAACCACTGAGGGAAGCCATTTGTCAAGAGCAGACCAACAGGCCTGGGCTGTTATGAACATTATTGAGATATAAGAAACTGGGTGTGAAATCGGACTAAGACAATATCCAGGCAGAACTCCGTCCCAATATAGTGTTAGACATTACGATTAATAGGACTCGGCAAATTGTTAAGACATATTAATGGCCACCAAAGGCGGTGTACATTTCGCATATTTTACCTCCACATTCGGAGAAATTCATGTAGGTAGCGAACCGAAAGCTACCGGCCACAACAGCAGAAGTAAACATGCACGTGGGATGATCCATAGCCAGTTTCATCTGGTAGACAGCTCACACTGTAGGATGGCAATGAAAGCCAATAAAAGTCTTATGCGATCCGTCAAACTCAGTCCTTTGATTTGGTTGCCGGTTTTCAAACAGTTAGAAGGACGCCCCCTGAATGAAAGAATTCACCGAAGAAGAACTTTTGTCATTCACAGCCCGATCTGGTGTGCTATTTCAACAACGGCTCGTCCTTCCCTGTAACTTTACTCATGAATAATGGTAAAACATTTCCACCCACACGTCATATTCATACATGCACACTTGGACAGTCAATTCAGTTTTCAACTAAAGCTTGCGGTGAAACAGTGATCGGAAGTTTGTAAAATTTAGAGCGACTGAAAAAGGAAATGAGTGGGTGGTACTTGATTGTCCCAGTTGAAGAGACCTGCTGAGTTTGGATCAAGCGCTTTGACTGCAACACCTTCAATCCTGTAGATGACTTCATCTTGATATCGAAATACTATACCCATTCTTATCAATCTTCGTCTCTAAAAAATCATTCAGCTGTAGCAACCTTTCGGTGCCCAACTGCCATGCCACCCAAAAGAAGCAGGAAGGGAAGTGGACACGATGACTGGGATACCACCAGGTTGCCCAGGCGAAGACAGGATCATTCGAGGTTGGGTCCGAACTACGGACCTTCCAGCCCGTAAGCTGGCACCTTAACAACTGAGCTAAATTGTTGTATGCTCACGAGATATGGTCCCTAGTTTTTCGACCACCGATGACTCAGAACCGTTACTGGTGTCTCCCAACGGATTCGTAATGAAATAAGTAGAGAACGGGTATTTTGTTGTGTGGTCGCAGAAACACCGAGTACGATCAACTATGGTGGCTCGGTCATGTGTTAGGTCTGCCGGAACACGTCTACCGGGACGAGTGCAGGCCTCCGTGTCCCAATCAGAATGGTGCACAACGTACGACCTGACGGAAAGGTGTGAAGAATATCACGACGAGTATAGGCGTTTTTGGTGCGGTGCACCTTCCACGTGACACCCACCTGCGCTGAGCTGGAGACATTGCAAGAAATTGCGGCTAACCGAAGTCAGTGGCGTTCGTGCTGTCAGTTTCTCCACGGGTTGTCTGGTTGAGAGATTGGAGGTGTAGAGACCTCAGAATGCTTGAGATAAGTTAGCATCAGGTCCATCCCTCATCCACTCTTTCCTCATCTTTTCACTCTAAGGCTTTAAATAAAATCAGGTAAATCTTGTGGTTGTACGGCAGTGAAGCATCCGTGTTAACATTGATTATGCTGTCTCTGTAGATTGACCAAATTGGCTGTGGAGTGGTACTTATAAAGGTATATCCTCTAGCCGCGGCATACCTTTGATCTCATACAAACCAAGGAAAGTATCAGAGCTGGGACACGTTCAGACGGTCGAAGAGCAGAGGAAATTCTAGTGATCGACTCCACACCGGCCGGACGCCAGTCTATATTTCAATGACATGCCTTCAAAGTGATGAGCACACATCATGGTATTTTTACAACCAATATTTCCACCCTGTTCGCATAGCTTTTGGTACTCATCTTTGTCAGTAGGACTAAAGGTTGAAATACCGGGAGATCATCCTGACCTGAAAAGGGCGAAATGTCAGCAGAGAACAAACCACGGATGCCTTGAACAGGAGTTTGAACCTTCAACTCTGTTTTAGCTCTGGACCTCCAAAACCTGCTCACATAATTAAACGCACAAAATGGAGAACCGCCACAGTGACCAGACTAATAATTTCTTATCGAAGTGATAGAGAAATAAATTAAAAACCGTTAATAAATTACTTCCTGGAATAAATTGTGTGAATCAGTAGCTCTTGAGACAGAAGGCTATGTGCAATCAGCCACTAAACGAACGACCGTAATGTGTCTACTGAAAACGCTACAGTACGCCAGTAGTGGGTGTTATACATTTTCTACAGGAAACCTTGAACATCTTGGAGAGGCATTCGTATACGACGGAGGTACAGTAGGGGGCCTACCTCTCGTAAGTGCCGTTTACAACTGTACGGCAGTAGTAGAGGGTGTGGTCAGGCGCAGAGAGTACTACACACCCACACACGAGACAGTCATCTGTTGTCGGTGGAGTAATACGATTATGCACCAGAGACCTACCCGCAAAAGGCTCAGCTGTGCCGGTTTTCCGATTTCCGCGAAGTACGGCAAAAGTTTGACAACGCGAATGATGCGTCGGATGCACGCATCCATTCGATTGTATTCTTGTTCCAAAGTCACTGCTACGCCTGTCTCCAAGTGACCATCAGGAGTGAAAGGTTCACGTATTTGCTGCACACAGTCTTGTAGGCAACTGAGTACCTGATGATTCAACTCAAATTCAGGTTCAGTGGACAAGCTATTCTCTTTAGAGTATGTGTTTCTCAGACGTCGTCCTAAGCGCCGGAGTTTTGTGCGCCGTAGATGTGACCGTCGGTAAGGTGTGAAAGTTGATGGAACCTATAGAATGGAAAATACAAGGGGTACAAGGATTAGTTCAGCGAAAGGTTAAAGCACCGTGCCAGTGAAATGGATCAAAGTTTCACACAGCTGAACGAGAGAGATTTGTAAACGGTTCCTGAGTGATTGGAGGTTAGGTATTCATTAAAAGCTGTTTTCTCATATCATTTTGGACAAACACTTTTCACAGATCAGTACCAGTGGGGCCAGCTGAACTCAACCGCACTTGCTACACAATGTTCAATCACTGTGTAGACCTTGAACTGTTTACGAAGGACGCGACAGACAGTTATGGCTGTCAAACACAAACAATACAAAACAATGCAAAACAATACGCATTGCAATGAGCAATGCAAGGAAATGTCCGAAGCATCAGCGTACGAAAAACATGAAATAAACTTCACCAATGGAAGTGAAGGAAAGTGTGGGTATGAAATGCTTTCAATTTGTTCAGCATTATCAAACTGGTATTGCGGATCACAGTCTGTGTGAAAACGCACTCAATATCGAAAACTTCTTTAAAGAAAAGTGTAGCAGAAAAGCTTCGGAGTGACTGAAAAAACTCTTGTTGCTGTCGCTAGTGATGCTAATGAAGTTAGGTATGTAGCCAAACAAGACATCCGCAAATTAGGCCTTAAACAATCGTCAGCAGTAGAGAAGCAGACGCTGCTTTTGAGTGTCAGATCTTGATCACCATGCTGTAAGCGTATGGAACTACTTTGTATGTTACGACTCACCAGCTACTCGTGTGGCCTTGAGGCAGTTTGCCCTGTTCGATCACCCTTTTGTCCAAGCATGCAATACATATCTCTATAATTCGGCTACAGTCTGTCATCCATTGGCTTTTGTTCCCTCATTATTTCAGGGGTCGAAACGAATAGCATATCTGTCGTTCATTCTTATTACAAGTAGCTACACGCTGCAGCCACCCGATCAATGTAGGTGCACGAATAGACTGCCACTGAACATGTACCCTGAAGTTTCTCGGAGCCCCATACAGGGACAGAGTCTATGGGCGGATCTTGTGTTGATTAACGCATTTATATTTGATAAGTAAGTGTGATTTGGCCAACAATAGGCCGCTATGTCATCGTAATCAACCGCCGCATACAACAGCTCATCTCATGAACCAAACCGTATTGCATGAGCAGAAAAGCAGTGTGACTGTCCACTTCAATTTCAAAGGCACAAGGACTAACAAGTTGCCCTGACTTGTTAAACGCTCCTGACGAACATAAGGCGCTTACGCTTTATGTAGATTAGTGGGTAACCGTCTCTTCACCTGGTCAAGTATCAGCATACCAGTATGTTTTGTCTACACACAAGACCAGCCACATTCCTTTAAGAATCACAATCAGACAGCAAAACTGAAGCCAGGATAAGAGAACATTTGTCACACACGTGCACAACTTAATTCAATATGCCACAACAATGCTAGATGACATGCTACAAAATCTCACAAGATCTGTTGGTCAGCGGAACGGCATTCAAGAAGCAACAGTCAGGAGCCAAAAGTAACAGAACAGCCAACTGACTGCTAAAAGATGCTATGCCCTCATTTACAGCTTAGCAGGCATGGACGAGTGCGGCGACCACTGACACTGTAACAGTAGCTGTAGCACCCTTCCGGTGCCTAGTTACCATGTCGCCTGAAGGAAACGCGAGGGATGGGATACTGTCAGGGTAAGTCGAGAGGCAGAGGTCGGATTCGAACCACGGACCTTCCGGTCAGTAAATTCGCGCTCTGACCACTTGGGCTATCTCGCCCCCGACTACTGAAACACACCACATAGACAAGAACGCCAGCGTCCGGAAATACTGGCAACAAAACCACAGTTGAAATTCAAAAAACAGTGAAACCGAAGATGGGAAAAATACAATGACTCAGATGAAAAGCAGCAAAATAGTGAATACATAGCATAAACATTGGTTTAGATATCTGAAAATTTTTGGGAAATTGGTGAACATCTGTAAGACAACTAACCAAACATGTGATTTTCATTCCCAATAGAAATGAATGAAAGGCGAGATACGAAGCGGGCATCTACCAGTTATCATCATTATCACATTAGTTGTAACCACTCTTGAATGGTGGATTGATACGGCAGATCAACTGCGTGGGATTCTTCGTTGAACAGATTGTGTCAATACCGATTAGAAATGACAGCCACCCAACAAGAATTTATTCAACAAAATATGGCTTTATGGCAGTAAAGAAGTGATGCACTAGCGATTGTTACTACCAGAACAGTGGTACTTAATCTATTTCAAACCAGGCACCCTTTTCAGGATGATGTGAGAATTTACTTGCTTTTTGAGATTTGGCAGTCCAAAAAGGTCTTCGGACTATGCGAAGCGCACTCGTAGGTATTAGAAAGCCACAACTTTTCTTTATTTTAGATATTCATTAAAGAGGGCATCGGACTGTCCTGAAAACTCTACAGCCTTTTCCAATACAAGAAGATTTCCGTTCACGTGACAGTTTCTTAGCTAATTTCGGAAGTAGCGTGGGATTCCACGAAGATGCACGTCACTCCCAGCCTTCAAGTAATTTCATTCTTCGCTTATCAGCTCCATACAGGTTGTACTGTACCGAACATGTCATCCATGACGAGAAAAAGGTTATTCGTGGACGGTGACAGAGTAGTAATACAGATTGCTATGTGAATAAAATAAATAGTTGGCATTCCAGAAGTCCGTGCCTATAGAATTTGGGACCTCCCTTTCTTCCTGAAGCTTCGGAATTCTCCTTGGCTGTAAAGCTCCTCCAAACAAGAAACAATTGACTAGAGTTTCAGGCTAATCAAGAGAAAACGTTTCCCTTTGTCGAAATTGTCTAAGGTCCATCGATGGTTGCTCCTCGTAGAGGATTATTTATTTATTTCTGCGTTAAAATTAGGCCTCGCCCAAATACAGTCATGGAAGTACCTAGATGGATATCCTCTTGGAATTCCCCATTAACCCATAAACTTCGTTCGTCGTTGACTAACACCGAGTTCCTCATTCCCTGAAATTAAAACGAATTTCGGACTAAGGGGTTTCATATGAAAACAAAGCGCCAGGTGCTCACAGAACTCCGTTTCAGTCACTCTTCGCTTTGAAAATCCCGCAACATCTAGAAACATCCGCACTCTATCTGAGTATGTAACCTAAACGGTGATTGTGGGACGAACTTACTGCAGCGTCCACTCTATTTCAAACCAGGCACCCTTTTCAGGATGATGTGAGAATTTACTTGCTTTTTGAGATTTGGCAGTCCAAAAAGGTCTTCGGACTATGCGAAGCGCACTCGTAGGTATTAGAAAGCCACAACTTTTCTTTATTTTAGATATTCATTAAAGAGGGCATCGGACTGTCCTGAAAACTCTACAGCCTTTTCCAATACAAGAAGATTCCCGTTCACGTGACAGTTTCTTAGCTAATTTCGGAAGTAGCGTGGGATTCCACGAAGATGCACGTCACTCCCAGCCTTCAAGTAATTTCATTCTTCGCTTATCAGCTCCATACAGGTTGTACTGTACCGAACATGTCATCCATGACGAGAAAAAGGTTATTCGTGGACGGTGACAGAGTAGTAATACAGATTGCTATGTGAATAAAATAAATAGTTGGCATTCCAGAAGTCCGTGCCTATAGAATTTGGGACCTCCCTTTCTTCCTGAAGCTTCGGAATTCTCCTTGGCTGTAAAGCTCCTCCAAACAAGAAACAATTGACTAGAGTTTCAGGCTAATCAAGAGAAAACGTTTCCCTTTGTCGAAATTGTCTAAGGTCCATCGATGGTTGCTCCTCGTAGAGGATTATTTATTTATTTCTGCGTTAAAATTAGGCCTCGCCCAAATACAGTCATGGAAGCACCTAGATGGATATCCTCTTGGAATTCCCCATTAACCCATAAACTTCGTTCGTCGTTGACTAACACCGAGTTCCTCATTCCCTGAAATTAAAACGAATTTCGGACTAAGGGGTTTCATATGAAAACAAAGCGCCAGGTGCTCACAGAACTCCGTTTCAGTCACTCTTCGCTTTGAAAATCCCGCAACATCTAGAAACATCCGCACTCTATCTGAGTATGTAACCTAAACGGTGATTGTGGGACGAACTTACTGACCGCAGCGTCCACGGTTCGAACCACGCTCAGACATCTCGATTGCTCCCTTCTAGGCTTGAGCAACCTCACAGTATCTTGGAGCTAGTGCTTCATCTGGGTGACATTTCAGCTAGGCACCAAAAGGGCATTACAGCTGGACAGTTATTATTATTATCATAAACACAAACGGCTATGTGGTAGCAGCTCGGCTGCGTTTTCTGCCGGTCGATCAGGTGGTCGTTGGTCTGATCACTGAGCTTGGCACTAAGCTTAAAAGAGTTTCGCTACCAATCGATAAGACATTATCAGTGTGACACGAGCAATACGAAATGAGAAAGTTTTGCTAAAATGCTTGATACGGATATTTCATTTGTTCGAAAATTTGGGAAATTACAGTTATACCTACTAACAAGTTAGTTTGGAGCGTATCTGCCGTACATACCGGTGAAGACAACCTGAGCATCAAGGAACGAAGGGTGTTTGAAACAAACTGACTGGTTGGCGTTAATTGCTCATAAACAGCCGCTAGCTACACCAACTGGATGGGTCATCATCCACCACAAGTTTTATGGACATGTAGGCAATTAAAAATTTGAGTTCAGTTAGATCGTTGTGTGACGCTGTGGATATAACGTACAGACAAAGCACCAAGTTTCGCGACAACTTATTCCTGTCCATTTCAAGTGTAAGTCCATGTGGGTAGTCGCAAGCACACATACCTTTAAGGACTCAGATAAGGTCATCGCACGATGATACACACCATTTATTCCATTCCCACACACACAGACAAATTCGACACAGCTAAAAAGCACACATAAACTGAGGTCAAGGACGACAGCCCTCGCGATTACCTCGCAGACAGTATATCCAACGCTGTGTGTATTGTGTGCGTCCATCGTTACGATGACACATCCAAAGATAGACGGGTCGGCTACTGTTTGCAGAAAGAAGTAGCAAGTTAACCGAAGTAAACGAACAGAAGATGCATACATGACCTTAGAGACACAGATTTTCTGAATCGACATCTGCTGTTATTTGTATAGTGTTGTGCTGGTGTAAATATACTTCGCGTTGTTGTAAGCATTTGACTAAAAAGCACAAGTTAAGGTTTAAGGATTGCCTTCAATGAGTTCAATCTAATGCGAAATAAACTTGTAGATCTATTATACGTAGAAATAATTGACAGATTCAAAACTCACAGGGCGCAATGACTGTCTGCTCATCGAATTGGACGTCCGGCCAGCATGTGTACGATTTGTGTTGTATCCCATGGGAATAGATGGATCCAGAGTGTCAGCATTGATGTGGGATGAGGGGACTGTGGGGGTCGTAATAGCTGAATCGACTAGGCGCGAACCGGAGTAGGACGGAACGAAATGGGAGGCCGCTGTCCGGTGGGCAACATTGTTTCCGTGGGAGAGTGAGGACACCTGCAGGTGATGGGGTCCGGTCGGACGGTAGGTCTGTATGGTGGCAGTTCCACTACCGCCTGAAGAGGGAGTTGTGATCACATGCTGAGGAGAGCAACTGCCCCCTTGGGATGACGTGTGTTTCCGCCTTCGTGGTTTGGCACGTTGCTCGAGTTTCTCCGGGGCTATAATGGCAACCAAAGAGCAAAGAGAGTACTATTCGTGCAAACCACGACAGAATTTGCAGTACGAAAGCCAGAATCATAGAAATAGAAGGGATAGCAGAAACATGAAGCAAACGCAGTGATCGTCGGCCTGTAAAAGAGACAGTACTTACCAAAAGAACCTCATTAAAATTTACAGCCGTACGAATGCATTCGGAAAAGCGTGGAGCCAGATTCCGGATGATTACAAAAAACTGGTGACGAAAGGCTCCAAAATGTGAAATGACGATTTACTAAACGCATGAAGTCACCGTGCGGTTTTGAAACCACAAACAGTGCATACTATAAATCTATCTCTCGAGCTGAGTGTTACTGAACGACCTATGCACTAAAAGTTGACGAAATCAGTAGTGGAAGAGAAATATCGGTTAAGTAAGCTTATCCATCAGGTAGGGAAGAGACCAGATCGACAACCGCTGCCTCGGAGTCAGGCCTTTAAGGCAAAAGCTTTGACTGAGATCCCTGATCATCCTCCAGCGTAGATATGGGAGCAATGGCGGCATCTTACCCCAAATACAACCATCAGTTTCACCACATGCTGCATCGACTTCAAGTGGTGGCAAAGGCTGGGTCGCCCTGATCGCTCCACACAGTTTGAGGGAGCTCAGTGCCAGCTTACAGACTGGAAGGTCCGTGGTTCGAACCCAAACTCAGCGCCTCGAATGATCCTGCCTAGGCTTGGGCAAATTGGTACTATCCCAGCCCTCGTGCCTGCTTCCGTTGGCACCGAAAGGGCGCTACAGCTGAACGATTTTTATGCAGATCCCGGATGTAGACACATCAGTCAGGCAGCTATGGAATTCACACAGCGCACGCCATTGCTCATATTTACCGCCATATGTTTGCAATTCTGACCTCGTTCAAAAAAATTCAAGAGGTCAGTGGGTGGAAACGCAGGAGCCTTCCAGCAAAATAGCAAAACAGGAAGCGAAAGATTTTCGTGAGTCAGTCGAAGACAATATTAGAAACCGAATAAAGACCAGCGCCTGCATTGTTCGATGAATTACCTTCAACAACCGGTTAATTGGTCATATGCTCCTTGCCTATGTCTTTAACTCGACCTGCTCATTTTGAGCCATGTTCTGTGAGTTTGAATCCCTCAGTTAATGAAGTACTGATAGACATTTCTGCCTGGAGGTACCAGAAGGCTGTTGGGTCAGACAAGAGTCCTCCAGTGTTGTTCAAAGATGGGAGAAACTATGTGTTCCGCTTTAACTGGGTTGTTCATACGTGTTTGGGAATTACAATCAATCTTTGGTCAAAAAACGCCCACTAACCGACTGTTTCAAACATAAGTATATAAACCTCACGCCTGTCGTAACATAGCTGCTGGCTTCCCCAGTACTGCGACGCCCACCTTCGTATGTGAGAAGCAAGTCCGAGAGCACCAAGCAGGTAGATACCGCACGCACCATCGAACAATCGCAGTTTTCCTCGACTTCAAAGAAGTCTTCGAATCCATAGACAGACTGGCTCTCTTAATTATTTCTGGTCACAGAACAGTACACCGGGGAGTTCGTAGACATGCTTAATACCCCGTATTTCCATAACACTGATCGCGTTAGAGTGTACAATCAACTGTCCTCACTCCTTTTTCGTGCTATTTTGTCATGGATGTTATCATAGTATGTACACTCCAAAGGAACCATAAATCTAGGTACCGAAATGGATTTGGATTATGCGGATGATAGAACTTTGTTGCTTGAGGATTATCAGTCCACGGAAAGTACGCCGAACGGGATACCAGAGGTGGTCCCATCTTTTGGTATGCGTTTTGCACCTTCGAAGCACAAAACCTTAATTGAAGATTTTTGGTCCCGCTGTGCTTCTGCGAAAACGAAAAACTACAGTTTATTGATGGGTAAACGCATCATGGAGGCTGCATCAGCCGTTATTGTTTTATAACAGATGAGATCAATGAACGGATGACCAAGGCGCGAGTAAGTTTTGCCATTGGTGAAATGAACTTCGCTGAAGCTGAGGGATCTTGTATACAAGGCGACTGTAAGAACAGCCTTACTCCATGGTAGCGAGACTCAGTCCCTTCGATCCGGGGACCTTGAACGTCTTCGAACTTTTGATCCCAGTGTCTCTATAGTATAGCGACAGTTGTCTGGCTACAGCGAGTACACATCGAAGTAGTGTGTGCGCAGGTAAGTGGTAACCAATCCGAACCGTTAGTGCAGTAAGGTAAACTTATCAGGTTTAGATGGTCGGAGCACTTGGTACGTAGACATAATCACGGTCTACACAAGAAAGCGTTGTTTCCTGTTCCATGCGAGTGTTGGAGAAATGCCTGTCAGGAACAGGTCACAGCACGGCAACATGGAATAAAAAAGGCAACAGTTAAAATTGACGTTGAGTAATCTTCGCAACTTCCTGGCTTGGGTCCATTTTATCATGCTTGAACGTGGTTGGAGACCCTACATGACACGGCGAGCAAATAATCCCAGTTAGACTGCCTAACTAAAGTCTGTCTGTCGTTAAGTGCTGCGTTTATGTCGGATAACGGTTCGCAAAAGATGCTGCACCAATCAGGTTGATGGCACCTTGATTCGAAATGATGCATAGATGCGTTTACTGAAGGTGTAGACGCTCAGAACCAGTTTGTGCCGACCTTTGAGGATGAATCCACATAATGACACTCGATATCCACAAGGTGGCATTGATGCTTGTCGTACTTAACTGATGTAGAGTTAAAAGACTCGGACTTTGGTATTCATGGTTCAGTCATTTCGAAAACCTGGAAAACCTAGGACTCTTGGAGAATAAAGCATGCCATAAAGAGCTAGGAGAAAGACATGACAACAACCGTTCTACGAGTTTTAAATCGACAGGAGATCATTTACTTTTTACCTTGGTGAATAGTTAGAATAGTTTTCTAATGCTGCCAACAGGTTGCTAATAGCTGGCACAAAAACTCGCTTTCGTCTGTTCCAGGACGAGTGCAAGAAGAGAAACCAGTGAACTGCGGAGTTACTGACCACTGTTAGTTCACATTTACACTGCCGTTTATTGGCCACGAAAAATGACGGTCGGGTGTTTGGCAATCAATCATTTTCATCTCGAGACATGGAAACGAAAACAACTAACAATCGATGAGTGTGCCAGCACTATCGGTACAACCGCGCCCACAAAAGATTGGGAAAACAATCAACAATAAAAACGCTAGTGATTTCAGACAAACTTGAAGAAAGTTCACAGGAAAAACAAATCAAGTTTTCGAAGCTGGGTATATATATA